CTACCAAATTGTTTGTATAATAATTAAAAACCTTAAAAGAAAAAAATTGTGAACAATTCAAAAAATCTGCTCATACTTAAATACATTTTTTTATTTCTTATCGCCCGCGGCGGCAGCTGTAACAGACGACATGAGCGGCGATTACCTACAGTATGGTTTTAACGAGCTGTTTAACAAATAATGTTAATCTAATTGAATTATACCTGATTATTATACATTACTCAGAATTTAAAAAAAAAATTGTTTTTTAAACACTCAAATGTTAGTTTATTTTAATGATTTATTCTTATTATCAAAACCATGATGTAAGTAGATAATTAATGAAAATTATTTCTTATCACTCCTGTAGGTAGTCTGCCTACTTAATGAAAAATGAATTACATTTTACTCATCTAACTTGGCCAGGGGAAAAAATGAATATGACTGTAAAATAATCTATAAAATAAACTTTTTTGAAACAGTTAGACAACAAATAATTTTTATTAAAATATAATATATACTATTATGGATTGATCAGTTACCAGGTTGTGTTGATTATTGGTTTTAATATTAAACAGTACTTCAACCTGATGTGTCTCAAAAATTATTTTTTACTTTCCTCAAGTGATTAAAAATTAATTTTACCTATTCATTAAATTAAAAGTAAACACAAATTCTTATTATGTAAGTATACTGTATAAAATATTTATATTAAAATCGGTTACACAGGTTAGGTATAGCAACTAATTTTGAATATAAATTATTTTAGGTTTTAATTTTTAATATTTTTTTTTTCATCCCAACAAGACGAACAAATGTACATTTAACATTTATTTTAACATTATACCGATTAGTTTAGCTATGTCTTGATTCTGAAAAGTGATTTTGCTATAGCAATTTATCACATTCTTGTTACTTGTTTTGTATTTTAATATTTGATGATTTTGAATTTTATTGCACTGGTCGAGTGGTTGTAGAAAAAGTTTAAATTTAGAAAAAGCTATGCGAAGAAAAGTAATGGAAAGGGAACTAGTTCCGTTTGTTATGAATTTTAACATGATTACACTTATTCACTTATTAGTGATTCTATTTTGGTATGTATGTTTTATTATACGTAACAACTACATGAAGTCTGCTGTTAGCGCTGTATAAGTGTTTTTATTTTGAATATGTATAAGACGGATTTCTAATAATTAGTCAATCGAAAATTCTTATTACACAATTTAGATTTTATTTTTTTAAATATTTATTTTGCTCTTTTTACTAGTTACCTAATGTATTTTAAAATATTTTTGCCATTTTATTGCACATTAAGATATTTTTACAATAAATGATTTTTCTGCTTTCCCTCAGCAAGGGTGGAAACTTTTTATTGTTTCGTTTTTTTTTTTAAGGTCTGTAAATATAGTGTGGGGCTATTTTCTTAAGAATCTGAAAGGCGGAGGAGAGAAATTGCTTTCTGGCCATTGTAAATTTCTAGGTTAACAGTTATACTAAGTGTGAGTAAATCAACAGGTAACAACGGCAACAAATTATTATTGACCCCAATCGTATCACCCTAATACTAAAAATTAGGGATGGGCCGATACCCGATAAAACCGATTTTGCATATTACCTACCATTATTTATTATTTATTATTTTTAACTTATTTATAATTTAAACTCAATGACATCGACATTACTATAGTCTTATTTGCAAATGCATATTAATAAATAATAATATAGATAATGTAGGTATATGTATTGTATGTACCTAAATATTCAATAATTAAGTAAAAAAAAACTATACTAATGACTAAAATTTAATATGAAATAACCTACGTTATTATATTATTATTATTTATTATTTTATGATAATAATATTGTTAATTATCGACTTTTTATCATCGTTTTCGTGAGTTTTTGATAACGAATACAACCACTAACCTGTAACCACTAACCAGGTTTCGACAAAAACAAGCGTATTGTGGTCGAGGAGGTAACCGGTATTATGTAAAGGCGGTATTACAGCTTCGTCGTCTGTCGTGTCGGTCTGATTGGCCGTTGTAATCACGGTATCATTAGGTAATCATGACCATGAACCGGATTATTGCTAGAGTTGGGACGAGCTCAACTTTTGTATCGTGTGGTATAGCGTGGTAGTGAAAGTATGGTAACCGCGGTCAATCGATTTTTATTTATAATCGTTCTTTTAGACCTGCGATCTCTACCTCCCTCACCCAATATATGCTTTTTCAAAATACTTTATTTTCACAATTTTTATGCACGTTTTCTTCCTGAATTGTTTACATTTTTTATTAACTGAAATAGCTTGATGTTGAAACTTTAAACTGAAGTCTAAACGTCAAACAAGAATACAAATATCTTTTTCATTAGAGAAAAAAATGTGTGGAACGATTAGTGATTCATAGTTTAATAAACAATAGATTAAATTTGAATGACGTGCGTTGTTGATTAAATACCTAACGTTTATAATATTTATTATTAACGAGACCGTTTTTAAAACTATTTTTTATTAAAATCATTAAAATCAGAAGATTAGGTTAGTACTAAAATAAACATGTATAAGATAATGATAATTTGTGCAACCGTTTTATCATGTATACCCTTTGTTGTCATTATTATTATTATTACACAAAGCCTATTGTATTTTATATCTCATCTTTTGAGGTTCAATTGCTAACGAGTCAAATATTTTCTGAACAATTTTAATAATATTTCTTTAGAACAATTAGTTATTTGCATTGCTTTATAATTATTTTTTTTTAATTGGCACAAATTGTTTGTGGATGAGAAAACGGAAGTGTTTAGAGTTGAATAGGAACAACAGAAGAAGGCACTCTGGACATATAATGAGAATAAGTAGGTTTAAATGGAAATACTTGAGAGGTTAAGTTTACCAACGAACCATAGGCAGATATCAGGACACGGGTGGTTTAAAGAGGCTAAATCCTTTAAAATAATCACTTTCAAATATTTTCTAACCTGTCTTTGGAAAAAACAAAAGCCTGAACCAGACCCTGAGGTGGTACAGCTTCTATTTCATAATACTCCAAATCGTTCTTAAATAACTCAATAAATCTTAAAGGCTCTAATTTGAATTGCTTATATTATATTATCGAATTGATGTTTTAACGTAACCTTCTTGAAGCTAATCGACATTTTTACTCGGTTAATCTCTGGACTCGTAGTCGGTATAGGCCTAAAAATTAAAACCATTAATCTGAACAACAATAGCTGACTCACACGCGCTTTGGTTAAAAGACCTTTAGTTTATTATTTCTTGCGTTCAAGATAAGATATTATTATTGTGCAAACTATCAGCTGCCAGCTAATGTTTGTAATCACTTACGTGCCACGAAAGGTCGAGTATGATATTATTTTATTCAGTTTATTATAAGTATAACGAAAAATTTAATTTGTCACTTATTTGTCGGCAAACCAAGCTATTAAACAAGATTTACATTGTAGCTTGCGATTATGTTGTTTTTCCAATGTTAAATAGAATAATCGTTAGAAAAGTATTAAACTAAGTCGCTCAACTGAATACTAGTTTTTTATTGACTCTCTGTGTATGAAACGTTTTCTTTTAACATTCCCAACCCATCTTGATTGGTTCTCTGTTGTTTTTGGCACAACTCTCAAACCACCTTTTACACGTTAATTTCTAATACTATCTAACCTAGTAGTCACTTCAAATATCTATCGAAACATTCTTATATGAACTACTCCCACGTTACTCGTATTCAATGCCCAACTCTCACTTGTTACAGCATTGCTAGTCTTATTCATTTTAGCCAAAATAAATAAATAGTACCATTCCACCTTATTCAACCAATATTTATCCTCTCCAAATCCACCATTATCTTGTTTATTATAAAATCGCCTACCGCATCCTAATTCCTATAGCACCCCCCCCTTTTTTTTAAACCTGCCCTACTTCTAAATCTCTCAACACTCATTCTGAGATATGTGATAAAAATAACTTTCATCCGGTTTCTTATTTTATTATTCTCACTCATGATTGCTATTTTTGGTAATGCTCAACCCTCATTTATCCAATCCATCGCCGATGGCCTTAGTACAGTTTTATTAAATTTATTTTTTCCTTAATTTGTCCCTTCAATACCTCTGTTTTCTTTTTCCACTGCTTCTCCCTGATATTCTTTCAGATACTCTTCACATTTTGTTAAATATCAGTGTTGATTGTCAGAAATCTAGGTGAAGTCCGTCCTCATGGTTGGTTTGTTTGAAATGCATAAAGAAGCTGCAAACTACTACACTCTAAGCTCCTCCCTATCCTAAGCTTATGACTTTTTTTCCAAGTTGAATGCAGCACCGAATGGGAATAGTTTGCACAGTATTGCCCTGCCCTGGCTTAGATTAAGTTGGGTTAGGTTAAGTTTGTTTGGCTAAAGTTATATGTGAATATTTTTATTGGGCCCCCACCCCAATAGGGGTGTGTTAGTCTAAGTGATTTAATGTGTAAAGATTAAGAAACGTGTAGAAAGGGTGTGTGGAGCACTCTCCCATCAAAGATGTGTACAATAAATGGCGTCGGAGACCTGATGGAAGTAATTCCTCACCACACAAGTTCTTTATGGACGTATGTAAAACAAAAAAGGTTAGGTTTGGTCACGTTTGGTTAGGTTAGGTTTGGTTATGTTAGGTTAACCCGTTGGCTAACCCCGAGTTCTGGGGCCGTCTAATATTCCAAAGTGAAACAAAAAAAGACAGGTTAGGTTTGGTTACGTTACGTTAGGTTAGGTTAGGTTACGTTAGGTTTGGTTAGGTTAGGTGTGTGAGCTTATGGCGCCTGAATATTATGACGGTATGTGCACTTATGTTTCTCAGTGGAACGCAACCACTTGTTGTGCGTCTACCGTGATAAATCCGTCGGCGTCTCTTATCGCCAGTGACATTGTGTGTGTGTGTGATTGTTTTTAATACGCTCGTCGTGGTCCGCGTGCACCCGCCAGCACCGCGGTTAGTCGTTCCGCGAGCCACCGGCCACACGGTAGTTTGGTGCATTTCTGTTGGCAATAGTGCCATTCGTTCCAGTCGGTCGTGGTACATTGGCCGCGGACGTGTTCGCGGGGTGGGGGGGACGGAGGAAAATAGTGTGCACACGCCGCCGGTACAAACGAAATGTGAACAAACGGTGTATTAGCCGGTCTCGACGACGACGACGACCGGTTTTCCTAAGCCGACCGCCGGAACAGTGTGCTAGAAGATCCGTCAGTGACGTCCGCCGCGCTTGTCCGTGCACAAGTGGTGCAGGTGTGTTCTGTGCCGGTTTTTCGTTTTGTTTTTGCGCCACTATTATGACGAAGTTCGGCTAGCAGCCAGCCAAACCAAACCCGCGTTTTTTTCACAACAGCAATTATTGTTACCATTGTAGTTTCCAATAATAATAATAATTGTGGCCGGGAAATCCGCGCGGCCACCGGTGGACGCGATGGCCCGTGACGCCGAGGTGCACGACTTGGACATGCCGTCTCTGGAGTACGACGACGAAGAAACGGCGTACGTGGGCACGGAGACGCCGAGTTTCGACGCGGACGACGCCGCTCTGGGCAGCACGTTCGTGATCGTCGACGAGGACACGGTGTCCGACCCGGACGACGACGACGACATGGTAGCGCCCCTGGTGAATTGTCCGGTGTCCGCCGAATCGGTGGCCGTCGGGACGCCGGCGGCCGCGGCGTCTCCGTCGTCCGGCGTCCGGCCCAAATTCCTGGACAAGATCAAAGAGCACAAGAGCTACCAGAGGCTGGCGAAAATGATTAAGAAAAAAGGTCCGGAATTTCCATTTAAATCTTTCTTGTTTTCTTCAAGTCAATTTTACCCGCGTTTCCTACGTGCATTTTTTAATAACCACTACATTAATAATAATGTTTTGTTGTTATTGTTTTATTATTATTTTTGCATTAATGACAAACAAGAGTTAGTATAGGCATATAAGGTAATGTGCACCATCGTGCATTCACATTCTGGTTTTTGAAAATATGCGCTGTCGAAATAATTTCATCGTCGTTATTGCGTTGCCCTTAGGTCACATGTGATATGAGTATATTTTAAATACATGGAATGTTATGTGTGATTTTACTGTTAATTACTGGGTTTTTCCCCCCAGGAAAAAATAATAATTATTGTTATTTGCCAATAGATTTTACAAAAACATATTATTAATGTGACAAACTGACACCTCACCTCAATAAGCTTAGCTTGTGTGATAAGGGATGGAGAGTTCAATATCTGTATTATTATACTAATAATATTATATTAGTTTGTATAATAGTTGACAAATGTACGTTAATATCAAATTTAATAAAAATTAATACAAATTAGAAGGAGAAAACAAACAAAAAAACCATCAAACTTGCTATCTAATTGATTGTTTACGTTTTGCTTATATTTTAAGACGACTAGATTTTAAATTTGCATTTTTCGATAACAATGTCATCAATCGTTATTGTTGTAAACAGTTATCACAACACTAGAAACACTGATATGATAATAACAGCTGACAGTCATCTTATCTTGATAACAATACACGAGTTTTGTGTTGAAGAAACGGTTTCAGTTAGTGACTAATGCCCATTTTAAAATTTTTTTTTACATGAATTTTATATTTTAGATGTGTGCATATGTTTTCAATGGGCCTTAAGTTCAGGGGGAGGGGGTTTAGGAAATTACAAAGTTTTTCAAACATTAAAATAGCCCGTTTTAATATTATTGAACGAAAACGTTTGGACATTGTCACGCCATTGACTTGCGACTATTATAATGCGACACAGTTTGTTATTGTTGTGCACTGCTGTTTTTTTTTTTTTTTTATCATCCGGAGAATTCACAAACAAGTCTTGGCGATTACAATATTTGTATTCTGAATTATTTGCATATGTTTAAAAAGCCAGTACGTAGAAAAAAATAATAAAAGCTTTTACGCAATTCGAGTGTCGTTTTTTCGCCATCTCGTGATAATAAAATATTATACAAACCTTTTCAAGGGTGACATTTGTATTATTATTCTGTTTATAGATGGATATTTTTTTTCTGTATTGTCGTTTATCATCGTCTCATCGTTGTTTGTGACGCAAACAAACATAATAAAAAAAAAAACCTTCTAAACGGATGATCTACACTGAATGTAGTTGACCTATATGTCATTCGTAATGCGGTAAAATCGATTTCATTAAAAATAAAAACTACTCTTCGGTTTAATGCCCACCCTCGTTTAAATATGAAAGGAAAATACTATTAATTAATAGGTGGAGGGGGAAGGCGGCAAAATATCTAATGATCTAGATATCGTTTTAACATGATTGTGATAACAAGGAAATCAATCCTGGATTGCTGATAAGAGATAAGAAATGAAATGCAGCTGATAAGAGAAACAGTTGATAAGACATTATTGATAAAAAAAAAAACATAAAATCAACTGATGAACTACATAGACCCGTTTGTGATGCAACTAAAAATTTGATTTTCCATTTTGTTATTAAAAACACTGAAATATTTAAACGCATTTCGGTTCGCCTCCCATTTTGGGCCTTTAATTGATCAAATTTGGCTCTTTCCATTTAAGACCCTTTATTATAGGACTCTTTTTTTTTTTTTTTTAATAGATGCCCATTCGTACATCCAATTCCTAATTGAAAGGTCTAGTGCATTTGCAACCAGACAAATCCAACAACTATTCTCTGCAAATATATCACAAAATCCCTACCGTTGGAGTAATTGTTGTTATTATTATTATTATCATCATCGTCATGATTGTTCATTAAACCTTGTTGCAACAGCCGAGAGTTACTCAAATGCAGAAATTCAGCAAACGACGAGTACGGATTAAAAACAAAATATATATATAAGTATGAAAAAATAAAGTTGTTTTCACATTCCTTAAACGTCATTTAGTGTTCGGTAATTGGTCCATTATAGAGTTTAATGGACCATCAGGTTGGTTTGGCTTGACATTTCAATATAGTTCAGTGTTGGTAAACCATACAAAGATTTTCTAATAGCTGAATTCGTGATGAGAGCAGTTTTTTGTTTATAGTTTATGTCAAAGTGTTGGTTTAAAACTGATTTTAGTAAGAAAGTATTGACAGTAAAAAATATTACAATAACTATCATAAAATTTTTTTTTAAAATTGGATTTGATTGGCATCAAAAGGCAATCGTTTCGAATACTTACTTGTATGGTGGCACAATAAAACTTCAAAGACAATAATAAAATTGATAGTCTTTTTTTTCTGATTTTCCCAAATTATATGTTGTTATTTTTTTTAACAAGTCCCGCGTGACGGTGATCAATTTTATGTCATTTTTTTTTCTTTTGTTTTTAATGGAAACGTGAGTTTTAATGAACCCATTTTTTTTACGGTTGAGTGTTACATAATATTTATATAAATATATATGTTTGTTTAGCGTTTTAAAAAGTACAAAAATAACGTCCATTTCGTGTTCAAAATATGTCGCGTGATCCGATTTGTACAAAAAAAAAACCCAATTCGGTTTTCATGTACTAATAAAGTATGAAATGAGAGATTTTTTTATGCAGTAAAAATTCAAGGAAATATAATATCCAATCTTATTTAATTTTAAAACATTGTTTTACCAAACAAAAACCGACTGTATGTTTTTCGAATGTTTATTATTGAAAACAATTCATTTTCTCTTCGATTAATTATACAAATTTAAAAATTACATTGCAATTTAAAAAAAAAATAACTTAATCGCCATTTTTGTTGTGTATAAAAAAATGCACCACACTAATACCTACCGCGGTTACTAAAACATGGTCACTAAACCATTGGTCTTGTATTTTTTTATCATTCGAAATTTGAATTTCCTTTTTTTATTTATTAAGTTTTTAAAAAAAAAATTCGTATTCACATTATTGTTAGAACAAAATAAATACACCCTAAATACAGTGTTTGGAAAATTCCTCTTTTTCAATGTAATACACAATGGGAATTCCCAGTCGTGAGGTATAAAAAATGCAGTAATACGCTTTCCCATTCATAATAAAAAAAATAGAAAGCATTCCAAGTTTGTTACTCTTGTTCCGAATTGGTATTAAAAAATATATATATACCTTATTACTGGGTAGCTGCTGTAAGTAAACTTACCTACTTTTATGTAGAACAAGCCCGAAATTTTGGCTCACACTATGATTGCTGTAAATAATTTTTGTTTTTAGAATAATTCTATTGCATTCCCCCATTGGGGTCATCATTGCTGATGAACAAAAAAATTGTAACGCGTTCATAATAGCATTGTTTTTTTTTTTATTATACAATTAAAATAAAAACGATTTGACAATTTTATCTTTTTGGTTATGTCAGGAGGTTTGTTTTTGCCTTTGCGACAATTTTCATCATCGCGTGTGAACTGTAATTTTATTTCAAGTGTCTTTTTTGGTTGCATTGTTTATTATTATTATTACAACAACCGTTTAGCAAGCGATTGAAAAAAACTCGTATGCAATAATATGTATAATAATCCGTTTATGATGGTGTATATGTTCGATCAAGGTCGTCGGTGGTGTTATTTATTTAAAAAAAAAAAATTATATATACATATTGAATATTTTTTTTCATACCAGTGGTTCCCAAAACGTGGACCGGTCAGGTGTATGTATGTATCACAATATCAGTATACTGTGGGAAAATATTCCAAATGCAATCATTGTTGAATTCATATAGCTAGAAGTGACTTTTGTCATGTAAAGCTTACAACAATATGAATAAAACTGCAGTTGCAGCACTGCACGGCTCGATTAGTCGATTGTAATTTTCGGTTTTTTGTCGTTTTTAACCCGACAAAACTATACTACCTACCTACTTGGCTATACTATACTACTTGTTATACTGGGTGTTCCAGCATGAACGGTAAGTAATAGGTGATTGGACATCTGTGGGACCCCCAAATAAGCCCCCCGTTTTCAAGTCAAAAATTGAAGATTTCGACAGTTAAGTAAAAAAAATAACGACTTTTAAAAAAAAAATTATTCCCTGTTATTCAGTACAAAAAGCTCACCTTAAAAGAGGGGTCACATCATTTTCAGTCTTTTTCAGCCCCTAACTCTTCTCTTATCATTTTTTTCTTACCTCTAGTCTCTAACCATTTATCTCTTATCACTAATATCTTATTATTTATTTCTTATCTCTTGTTTCTAATTATTTATCTCCAAACTCTTATCATTTAGCACCTATCTCTTATCATTCATCTCTAATCTCTCATAATTTATCTCTTATCAATTATTTCTTTTCTTTTATCTCTTATCAATTACGTCTTAGCATTTATCTTTTATCGCTGATCATTTATTTCTGGTCTCTAATCATTTTTGTCTTATCATTTTTTGAGTTAGGGGCCGAAAGGGACTGAAAATTATGTGACCCCTCTTTTAAGGTTAGCTTTTTGCACTGAATAACATGGAATGATTTTTTGTTTTTTTAGGTCATTATTTTTTTACCTAACTGTCGAAACCTTCAATTTTTGACTTATCGAAAAAATAAAAACGGGGGGCTTATTCGGGGGTCCCCCAGATGTCCAATCGCCTATTACTTACCCTTTCATGCTGGAACACCCTGTATTGTGTTGTATCAACAATAATAATTTTTTTTTCTTAAACATTCTTCCAGACGAAGAGCCGCCGGTGATCATGTCCCCGGACTCGGGCATCAACGAGCTGCAAGGGCTCAGCGTCGAGGAACAGGAGAAACAGAAAGATGAATGGCAACAAGAGCTGAACAAGGTCGAGGAGGAGATCAAGACTCTGCGCGAAGTGCTCGGATCCAAAGTGAGAGCTTCGCAAGAGCTCAGGCGAAAGCTCGGCTACACCGTTTGGCAGGAGATCACCGGTGACGTGTCGCAGGGCCTGCGCAACGTCAAAGAGTCCAACGTGTGAGTTGAAAAAGGCCGGCTCGCTGTTGTTGTATATTTTATCCGTGCTGGCTTTGGGGTTTTTTTTTTTTTTTTTTTAAACGGTTTTTCTTTAAGCATATTATTACTTTATTTATTAGTTCACCTTTTTTTAATTTTGTTTATTTATTTAGTTTGTTTTTTTTTTTTGCATTTTTTTTTTTTTTTGTTCTTTTTAGCTACCAAAATGTAGAAGAAAAGTTTAGCCAATTCGGAAAAGCTGTTGTTGACGCACCAATGTAAGTCTTTTAATTTAAAAAAGACCAAAAACACTTTTCACTGATCCTCAAACGTTTATTTTATATATCAGTGTTTATTATTTTTTTTATATTAACTACCAAAAAAAAAATATATATATATAATATATTGTATATATATATATATATATGTATATATATATGTATACATTCAAACTACTTCAACACAGCCTTCCCCCATTGACGGTGCGTTTAGCAAACTATGATTAAACGTAGTTTTTTTATTCAATTTATTTGCAAGCAGTACGATGATAATATTGAAAATTACAACACTGCGTCGACGACCATATAATTGTAATTTTGATTATAATTAATTGTGTGTGCGTAACACAAAATATGCGTTTAATCATATTTATTTGAACCGCGCCACTTGAATATAACTAACATTTTAGTAGTTTAGATAAGAAGATATATTTATATCAATTAATTTGTATATGTATATATTAGGGTGTACAAAAAAAAAAATGTTTTTTTGTTTTCTCTTGACATTATGTCCCTTGGGGTAAAATAATATTTCCCTATTCTGATATATTGTTAGAATAATGTGTTATTTAAGTATATCGGAATTCTTTGCAACTAAATGAGGAATAAGTTAAAAATATTTTAGAGTACTATGTATAACAATGTTTTCGCAAATTTTACATTCTAAGGCCTAAATTAGTAGTTGGATAGTAGTAATTTTTGCAAAAAAAAAAAAAAAATACCGGTTTGTTCTTCTTTTTCTAATGATGATTTTGTATAAAAGCAACATTTTGTTTAAAATTGATATTTATACCTTATAAAAATTAAAAACTAAAAAAAAAAAAATTTTTTGTTTGTAAAACTGATGCTCGCAACGTCTAAAATTAATTTTAAAAATCTGAAGAAAAAAAAATAGGGAAATATTATTTTACCCCGAGGAACAGAATGTCAAGAGAAGAACAAAAAAAAAAAATTTTTTTTTTTGGTACACCCTAATGTATTTATATATATATATATAAGCTTTAATGTTAATGAAATAATGTCCAAGTGTGATGATGAACAATGATTGTATTTTCTTTGCTAGATTCAACTTTTCTTTACCAGACTCGAGCGACATGCGCACCCCAACCAGGAACATGGTTCTAAAACACTGGTATATAAAATAAGTGTTTTGTGTACACACAGCCCAAGCATGCTTGCTGCTGCCCGCACTGTGGTGTCGTCGAGTGTGTGCGTGCGATCCACAGAAATATTACGCTTGATACTGTATAGCAATATTTACTAGCTGCCGCCGCCACCCTTGTACCTTATCTTATATTGTTTATATTTTTCTATTTGCACCACCTACTGTATATGTAATTCGCTTCTGTTGGCCGCGTCCACTCCTTCTAATTGGCTGTTTTTTTTTATTTTCTTCTTTTCAACACTTAGCTACCAAAACGTAGAGGGCAAATTTAAGCAATTCGGAACGGCCGTAGTTGAAACACCGATGTAAGTTTTTCAAATTACCTATTGTTGTCTGTCCAGTGTGTATACGTGTGTTAACTGTTTAAAACCGTCGTAACGTCCCATTGGAGTCGTCTCCAATGGGACAACGATGCAACGGGTCAACGTGCATGCTCCAGTGCCGCCGTCGTTTATCCGGTCGGACCTGTGTTGTAATATTGTCACAGTAGATAGAAAACATTTGTATTATTTGTTGTGACATTCTTACTTAGATCCCATTAACTGTATGGCATGTTTTGTACAATCATAAATTAAACTGTTTTTTTTAAATCGGCTCGTTGTAGTTGAACGTGTGAGGCGTGCAAGGGTTAAGCGTCTATATGACTCGGTATCTCCGGTATTGTGCCGGAGCTAAGAAAACCTATTCGTTCCGGACCGGATAAAGCGTTTGATTAGTTATTAAAATATCATAAAAATTGCTCCTAAAAGACTAAATTAAAGAGATTTGAATTTATTCGTTTATATAACAAAATACAATTTTATTCATTATTCGAATAATTTTTGCACAACTCTACCGATGAAGTTTCCTATTGTTTAAATGTGTATATAAATATAATGTATACAATTGGCATTGCTAACGTAACTAACGTGTAATTTATTTGAAAATAGTTTAACGTTATATTATTATTATTGTAATTTTTTTTTTAATAGACAGTTTTAACTATTTAATTACTAATGCGTTGCTACGGTGGAAGATTTTATTCCAGCAAGTAGTTTATCTTATAATATCCTAAACAAAGTTCGTAACGATAACGCCACTTGTACTTGTCTGAGCAATATAATAATACTTTTTATCTAACGTTATTAATATTTAAAAACTGTTGCGACAACGTTATTTCAAAAGTAGCGTTACAATTTTCATTTTGATATTATAATAATTTTTTTTTTCTATTACAATATATATATAGCTATCAGAAAACCGAATCCGTCGTGAAAACCACAGCGGAAAAAGCAACGACAATATTCGGTGGCTTCGGCAGCGGCCTCAGTTCGAAATTAGGACAGATCAAGAACTCCGAGTCGTTTCGTTCGTTCGAAGAAAAAGTCGGTTCGGCGTTGGACACCGTCAAGGTATAACAAGGCAAAACTATTGGCAACCCCCAAAATTAGATTATTTTGAATTATTATTATGTTTTTTTTTTTAAATTTTCAGACTAAGGTGGCGTCGCGTTCAAACTCTATGCAAAATTTCGACGAGATATTGGAAGAAGAGACGCGTGTGGCCAACGAAGAGAAACGTTTAAAAGAAGAACGAGAGGCGGCCACCAAATGAAAAACACACTAAACACTCCATCGTCGTTTCTCCGTAAAAATCATGCACTAAAAATTATATATGTATATCGTTTATTTTACACCGATACACTATTTTCCTCAGCGTAGCGTGTGATTTAATATTATCGAGAAAACATTTTTTTTATTGTATTTATCTCCATCTAATAATATTATATATATAGGAAGTAGATATTTTAATTATTATTTATGTTAATTGTGTATTCGGTTTGTAATTATTATTAGTTATTTTATTTATTCGTTTCTTTTTTTTTGTTAAGTATATAAAAAAAAAAAATATATTTATATTACTCGTTCTTGTTTACGGCGTAACTTAGAAATAAAAAAAACAATTACAAACAACGTTGTACAAATTAAAAATGACGAGTCTATAATATCATCGACGGTGATACATTTTGACGTTTCGGTTAGTCGAGCACGGCGTCGTTGAACAGGCTGTCGTCGACATTACCCTTAAAATTATTGTGCCTATACATTATGTATACCTCATTATATAACTTACATACACTTTTAATTATTCCATTTGTAAAATTAAAAATAGATAATATATATTTTTTAGCTATGTAATTTTTAATAATAATTTAATTTTACTAGTATCGTAAAATATTATGTTATTATTGATTTTTGTTAATTTTTAGCGTATTCTATAATAAAAATCTCATACTTACTATAACAAACGTTTGTCGTTGAATGTGTACCACTATTATTCATATCGTTCTACGACAAATTATATTAGGCTTATACAACCGAAACAAAAGGACTAATGTAAATATTTGGTATCGACACTATGTATATTTATATAAAAAAAAACTTAAACAATATTACAACTAATAATTGTTCTGGACGATGTTGCACGTAGGAAGGCCGAAGGAAGTCTGGCAGAGGTCGCATTCACAAGGCACGGTGAACTGATGCGGTGAACTACCGTGTTCTGCTGTCGGCTTGTCAACGGAACGATGATGGACAGCGTTGTCGAGAGCTGCGGCGGCAATGGATCCGGAACGGATTGATGAACGCACTTTGCCACGTCGTTGCGGTGTCTGTGCCGTATGAGTGCGTTTACGATGTGCGTTCAACGACGACAAGCTGGCGTAGGTCTTTTGACAAGAATCGCAATCGAACGGCTTTGGTTTGGCCGCCGCGGAAGACTCGCTGTTTGCCGTGGACGAATGATGATTTCTCTTGTGCAAGACCAACACGTAGGACTGAGTGAACGATTGTTGACAAACGTCGCACACAAAAGGTCTTTCGCCCGTGTGCGTTCTTCGGTGCCGGACCATGTCGTTGCGTTTGACAAAAGCCTTTGGGCAAAAGTCACACTTGTGCGGCTTCTCGCCGGTGTGCGCTCTCCGTACGTGCGTCCTCATGCTGCTCAACAGGGCGAACGCTTGTCGGCAGACGTCGCAGGTGTACGGCTTTTCTCCCGTATGCGTTCGCCGGTGCGTCTGCAACGTACCCAACTGCAGGAAAGTCTTCTGACAGATATCGCACTCGAACAGCTTTTCGCCCGAATGCACCTTTTGGTGTTCCCTCAAATTGGACTTGTCGATAAACGATTTGCGGCAAATTTCGCACGCGAACGGTCTCTCCCTGGTGTGCGTTCTCTTGTGAACTCTCAGTTTGTACGAATCGTTGAACGGCCTCTGGCAAACGTCGCATTCCAACCGTTGACGTTGGCCGCGTTTGCTCTTCGAAGCCCCCCCAAGCGGCGATGTCTGCCCGGCGGTGGTTTTTTTCGCGGCTTTCGGTACAATCGGCCTGTGCGTTAGTCTGATGTGTTTCAACAAGTGTGAACTCTTGTCGAACGTTTCTTTACACTTGGCACACTTGAACTTTTGCGGTGCCACAACAACAACAACGGCGGCGGTCGATTCGGTGTTCCGGACTGCCGGTGCCGGCGGCTCGGGCAGCGCTAACGGTACGATGGGTTGCGGGTCGATCGACGTTAGATCCGGAACATTATCTATCATGCTGGATAGCCCGTTCGTTATCATTGGTATGTCCGGCACACTAGGGTACCACGTTGGCCAATTGTCCGCATAGTCATCGGCGGCCGTCGGCGGCGGCGATGCACCGGGCAAGTCGTATTGAGCCGATGTTGTCGGTTGTTGCGTCTCTGTTGGGTTGGCCGCCGCCGCCGCCGCCGGCGTTTGACGACTCCAGTGGGTGCGCTTGTGAACGATTAAACTGGACGACTGCGTGTAAGCCTTTGGGCAGACATCGCATCGATACGGTCTCTCGCCGGTGTGCGTACGCTTGTGCGACACCAGTATGGAAGAATAAGCGAACGCTTTCGGACAAAAGTCGCATCGGAACGGCTTTTCGCCCGTATGCGTTCTTTTGTGCGTGACCAACACGGACATGCAAGTGAATGTTTTCAGACAGACTTCGCATCGGTATTGGTGTCGGCCGGCGTTGTGGACGGCCGAGTGCCTGGTCAAGCTGTTCGAAGTGGAAAACGACTTGGCGCAGACGGTACACCTGAAAGGTCGGTCGACAACGGTTGCAGCAAACGGTTTCGTCCAATCCGGCACGCCGTCGTGGGTTCCTCGGTGCCGGTCCAAACTGGCTTTCTTGGCGAACGCTTTGTCACAGGTTCCGCACGCGTGCGGCTTGTGTCCGGTGTGCAAGGCTTTGTGTTTGCGCAAGCTGTTGGCCAGCGCGAAAAACTTATGGCAAACGTCGCATTCGTACGGTCGCACGCCGGTATGGGATTTCTGGTGGTCGGCCAAGTTTGACCGATGGCCAAAACTCTTATGGCACAAATCGCAACGGTACGGTCTGGCTCCGGTGTGTACTCTCATGTGTACGTTGAGTTTGGATTTTTGTGCGAAACCTTTGGCACAGCTGTGGCACTTGAACGGTCTCTCGCCGGTGTGCGTCCGCTTGTGCACGGTCAACGTGCTGGCCAGGGAAAACGATTTTTGGCAAACGGCGCACCGGTACGGCTTCTCGCCCGTGTGAGTCCGCATGTGTTCGATCAGTTTGTGCCGCGACGAATACGGGAACGTCTTGTGGCACACGTCGCAGTCCAACCACTGTCCTTCGGGCCTTTTGGTGGTCGGCTCGCCGCCGAAAGCGTCGTCGTCGGGCTCGACGACAAACGGCGGTACGTCCGGGTCGTTGGCCGTCTCCCCGTGAAACCAATTGGACCAGTTGTAATTGAAATTGCCCACACAGGCGGCCGAAGACACACAGGCGGCGTCCCACGCGGCCGTGGTGGCCGACGACAACGACGTGATTTGCCGTGCACAGTGTTTGTTGTGGCGCGGCATGTAAGGCGTTTGTCCGGCGTGTGTGCGCTTGTGCGCTATCAGACTGGCGGAGTTGGTGAACGAGCGCGGACAGACGTCGCAGCCGAACGGCCTTTCGCCGGTGTGGATCCGCTTGTGCACGACCAGGCCGGAAGACTGCGTGAAACGCTTGCCGCACGTGTCGCAACGAAAAGGCTTGACGCCGGTGTGGGTGCGCTTGTGCCGGTCCAGGTCGCCGCTTTTGGCAAACGCTTTGGCGCAACAGTCGCACCCGTACGGTTTGTCGCCGGTGTGCGTTCGCCGGTGCGACCTCAGACTGCTGGACAACGTGAACGATTTCTCGCACAGGTCGCACCGGTAAGGCTTTTCGCCGGTGTGTATGCGCAGGTGCGTCACCAACGTGCTGAGCGTCGCAAAACGCTTCGGACAGAACCGGCACGCAAACGGTTTCTCGCCCGAATGCGTACGCTTGTGGTTGGTCAGGTTGTGCGACTGGGTAAACGCTTTTTCACAAACGTCACACTTGTGCGGTTTCTCGCCCGTGTGAATTTTCCGATGGCCCATCAAACTGGAACGACTGGAGAAACTTTTTTGGCAAACGTCGCAAACCAAAGAGCTTGTGTGCACTTTGCTGTGTCGACACAGTTTGGTTTTGTCGGTGAATGATTTCTCACAATGTTCGCAACGATAGAGCACTTGACGTTTCAAACGAGACCGTTTTGTCTGAACTGCTGCACCGGCGGTCGGGTTGTCGGTGTAACGCACACAGAATTTCAAATGCCTCGTTATTTGTGCCTTTTTCATGAACACAACGCAACAGTGGCTGCAAATATACTCTTTCGGTAAACCGCAGCTGTTGTCGTCGCTATCGATTGTTTCGAAACACAGTCGTTGTTCTTCTTCGAGCGTCGGCAATTCCAAAAACGGATCTTTTTTCATTTCCGTTCTCAGCAAACTAGTCATCGAAACATATGCCATGTCCGATACGCTGTAACAACGACAACATTGATTTTAAAATATATTATACGTTATATAGATGGTAACATTAAATGAATAGGTAATTATTTAATATAAAAATTAGAAATTAAATTTTAATAAACAATAAATAAGTCAATAGATTACAAAATTAAAAAAAAAAAAACATTTATGCCTTAATAAAACCAAATAAAAAATGTTTTTGTTGATTATAATAATTGATGTATTGAACTTAAGTAATACAATTGTATCCAATTGTATCCAATTTTAACTAAATTGTTTTTTTTCTCTCTTTTATTTTTTAATTTCTTTGTGTGATGAAATTTAAATAATTTACAACTACATATAATTGATATTTAAATTTAAAAAAAATAAGAATAGACAAAAATAGATATATTTAGGTCGTAACGTAAAATTAATAAATTGAAGTTCCGATTTCCGATTCACCCAAAAAAAAAAAATTGTAACATTTAAGCTATGCCTAACACACTCGGAACAACGAAAAAATATGAAGAGCGCCATAAGGCCTATCAGCTTTGTGTATACTAAATGGTCAAACAATACTTATGATTGTTGTATACATTTGCCTAAACCAACATGTACAATTAGTAATAGATTTTTTCCACTTAGTACTACTGTCATACACAGAAGAGGCGTCAGGTATTTTGAAAAATAACTATCACATGCAGAAGCCTTGGTTAATCAGTGGTTAATTTTAACGTCAAAATCAGTACAGAAGGAGAGAGGTCTTATTAAATTTCTGAAATATACATTTTACCTCCAGATAGACAAGTGAGAACTACACAATCAGGCACAGTCAAAGATGATGCAGTATTCCAGCGGAAATTAGACAACTTACAGTCTCGTGTTTACGTATCTTATTATGGTTAACACAAACCGATAATATTAACGATATAAAATATTAATCGTTTCTCAATAAAGTTCAGCTCTATTATTAAATTGTATTTTATGTAGAACCCGAAATAAGATGTTTACACACAACTATTGTGAGTACTTTTTGCGGCTCACTCGGTTTTTTTATTATTTCAATCGGAACTTTTAGTTTATATTGTACACAATTTTTTTTAACAAAATATTTGGGTTTTTTCTTGCCTTGCGTTCATTTAAAAAGTAAGATTATAAAAGAATATTGCAATACACAAGTTTTACACAAGGTTTGCAATTATTTTACAATGGACCACCCAAAAAATCTGTTTTCCCCTGGGACACTTAGTGTTTAAATCCGTCCCTATTCATTGGTATTCAGCGACAATTTTATAATTAATTTCTAGTGAAATATCGGTTGATTACGTACGTACTTGGTTCCGTTTTACGTCTGGAGTAAAATTTGACACTGAAATGAACAACTAGAATAATAATATAGGAACAACGGACAACAGAAATATTATTCACAAAATAATTAAGATGAGATAATATTATAGCACTGTTTGACGACCTAATAGTAATCGAGTAATATTAATAAATAATAACAATATATATTATAATATATTAAAATATAATATAAATAAAGAGTAATAGGAACCTACAAAAAAAGTAAAAAACGACTAGCTAAATAGATAGGAATAACAATCAACGGTTATCAGCTACAGCTGTTATCAGCTAACATTTGTTTACTATGATTGCGGTTACCTCGTACGTGGTTAGTGGTAACTAAAATGACACGACGTTCGTTTGAACGAGGCGGCGGCGGCGACGTGTTGTAAACATAACCTCACAAAAGTGATAAAAACTTTTTACACACAGACAAATGATTATTACTATAGCTGTATATTTATGTATATATATATATAAATCATGTTATAAGATTAACGCCGGCCGTTGTAATAATAATATCACTATTAGGTATAGTAGAAATAATAATTTTGTAAGTGACCGACCGATCAATAGCGTTTTTCTGTTGAATAAATGTTTAGTCGCCCAGTAATGGTTTGAAACGGTCGTCTTGGTGGATAATTTTTGCAGTACAACTACTCACAATTATTAATAACTCTCTACACGTAGCCGAGAACAACGTCCACCGCGATGAAAACCGGTAAAATACAACAAAAATATAATATTGGCTATAGTATTGTAATTAAATGTCTACTATTTATATTAAATATCTACTTGCCATTTTTTTTTTTTTTATGTTTGTTGCAGTTTTATCGTACGTCGTCGTCGTCGTGTTGAGCGGTTGCGTCTGCCTGTCGTCGTGTCTGTCGACCAACACGTACTTGTCGTCCAGAGACAAGGAACAGTTGAAGAGCGTTCTGATCGCCGGCTTGGACGCGCCAAACGTGTCCGATATCTACTACTCGTTGTCGGGCCTACAGCAACTCGGCCAACCGATACCCGATTCGGAGGTAACTTACGCTTACGTATTTGCTTACGTCTTTGCCGAATTTTGTATTATGTTTCCAACAATTTTATACTAAACGTTGTTTCAAAACTAGTCTTGAAATTTACACAGTCAAATATTATTTAGCATTTATCTTCATTTGTAACAATTTATAAACTATCATTCAGGATTTTTGTCAGAAAAAGTATTGCATTTTTAAAAACCTTACCTAACCCGCTTTGGATTCAGCAAAAAAAAAAATAACTTAAAATAGATGTAAATTAAGTTAAAAAAAAAAAAATTTCCTTATTGTCATCTAACTTAAGTTTAACAGAAAAACTTAAATTAGAATAAAATAGAAATTATATTTATTATTTGATGTTTATTTTTTTAGCAATTGTTTATTATAATATTTTATAAGACTTGTGCCAAAAGTGATTTTATTCCTTAAATACCATTGAAAATATAACATTTAATTGTACTTTCTTGAAAATATATTTTCATTTTTAAAATTATGTACAAATAATTACGATTGTCAATTTAGTTTATCTATTTATTTATAATATTACATTTTTTTTCAGGCTTTATGTAAAAAGTTGTTAAATGCAGTGGCCAAATCTAAAACGTTCGATACCGCGTACTTTGCGTCGAGCGCCTGGAAATTAATCGGAAAATGTTCGGGCAAATTACCAGTCGACGAATCGGTTCAGGTACAACGATAATTTTCGTTATCATTTAATTTTGTTACGTTATTTAATTTAAAAAATACATCAAAATTTTATCCAGAACGTACACGCTTTGTTAGAGAAAACCAACATCAGAGACGTCCAGATGTCTGATTTATTTTACGGAATCGGTTTGTTAAACAACGTCAATGTAAAACCGAAGGATGTGTCCAAACTGATAAGTTTAATCAAAAGGAAAATGAAACCGGACGACCCTATTACCGAGTATGACTTTGCTTTGCTTTTTTTTTTTTAAACACAAGTCTGATTTCCAGTTAATTTGTTTTATAAATTTCAGTTTCGGATACTCTATCAACTTGTTGGCCAGTCTTGGACCCGAAGCACGCTTTGGATACAACCGTTTGACCGACGCCATTATGCAAGTCGACCAAGTCGATCAAAAGTATTTGCAATTCGAAGGCGGCTTGTCCGTCACCGGTAATGTCAATACGATATAATTAATACATATAGATAAAAAAATGATTTTTTTTTACTATTATTACTTATTATTGTCGTAGGGCTCGTTTTGAACGGAATCTACAAGTTCTGCGACGCCGTACAGTGCAATTCCACGTTCCCGTTGGAAAACGACCAAGTAATAATGTTCGGCAATTATTTGCTGTCTCGTAAGTCTGTACAGACGTCCAAAGGAGCGTACTATTTGCTGTCGGCACTCAACACTTTGTCTAAAAACAACGTAATAAAAAAATAGCTGACGATCGGCGGCTCAGTTTGGTCGGTTTCTTCAATTTGCACGTCGTGTTGTTTCTCTTTTTTTTTTTAGTATCATTTGCCGATCGCCGCTTCACTGGTAAAACCAATGGGCGGACTCGATGACGTCCACAAAACTCTAGCCGTCCGATTCACCACCCTTCTTGGAGAACCTTTACCGACGACGCTCAGCGTTGGCGTGGAATCGGCCATGCTCAACAACAAAGTCGTAATGTCAAAAAATAAATTGAGGACGACCGCCGACAAGTAAAATTTTTTTGATTTAAATTTTATATAGTCACATATTGTTGTATATTTTATTATTAATTTTTTCCATCAGGACTATTTACGAGCTGGACTTCAACGACCCAGACCTGTCCACGGGCATTTACAGTCTAGTGTTGAGCGCTCAGCCAGCTCATTCGATCAAAGAGACGCTGCTGGGCAATCTGGCCATTCCGCTCGAGGTGAAAGTCGCGGCGTCGACGGTGGACATTGTCGATTTCAAAGTAGCGACAACAGACAGCGATCAGCACTCCGGACCGTCGCTTCAGTATGAGTTGGCGTATGATTTTCGTTAATCGCTCAAAGCTCTCGTTTTTCTAACGTAATTGTGTACCGTGTGTAGATTGAAATATGGCCAAAAGTTGAGCACACCGCTGAAGGCCGATAGTATGCAGAGAATCAACGTACGGTTTTCCGTTAAAGACAACGTCGCCAATAAGAACGTCCAGGTTCACCAAGCGTTTGTCAGGTTCACCAACTCGAAGAGCGGAGCGCAAAGCGTGTTCGTCGCCGAATTGGATTCGCAAAACCAATACAAACTCAATATGGTATGTACGCCGCGAATCGACGACAATATCATATTAACCGATAATGTATTATTTATCGTCGTCGTGTTACAGGACTTGGGCGTGAAAGCGGCGGCGTTCAAGCATGCGTCCGGCGTGTACGCGATGGATTTAATTATCGGCGACTCGTTGTTGACGAATCCCGTCGTGTGGACGTTTGGCGACATCAAATTGAAATTTTCCGAACCCGACACGCCCGTTGCCCACTCGTTTGAAGACTTTTACAAACCCAAAAGACTTATTTCTGTGAGTGTTTTTTTTTAAATAAATCAACGTTGTTAATGTTGTTAATAAAATTGAAATAAAAAACACCGTTGTTGTTTAGCATACGTTTAGAGAGCCGGAAACTCGGCCGCCTCGGATAGTGTCTCTGCTGTTCACAGGCTTATCGTTGGCACCTTTGTTGATCCTATTCGTTTTGGTACGTACATAAAATACGAACGGTAATAACAACAACAACAACGTAATAATTAATTATTATTTTTTTATTTTCAGTGGACAAAATTGGGAGTGAACGTAAAAAACTTCCCGTTCAGTTTGAGCGCTTTGGGTTTCCACACGGGACTGGGCGGTAAGCTAGGCGGTTTTTAATATATATTTTTTTTTGTTTTTTTTTTTACTAACTACCCTGTGTTTTTATTAATACAATAATTTTTTTCCACAGGTATTTTCGCGCTGTTTGTGATGTTTTGGTTGAGATTTAACATGTTTGTCACGCTGAAGTACCTGCTGGCGTTGGGCTTGGCCACGTTCCTGTTCGGCAATCGATTGTTGTCGCAAATCGCCCGTCGACGGAGCAAATAATAACACACCGACAGAGTGAATTTCACAATTTCCCTCCCCCGCCCCCCCCCAACTCTTTCCTTCATTCCATTGTGTTTTGCTACTAATTGATTGAAAAAAAAAAGAGAGATAATGCAAAATTAATATAAGGATATATGATTTATATTTGCTGCTGCACACTACACGCAACGTTTGAAATTAATTTTATAATATATTTTGTGATACACACAATTATTGATGAAAGTACTAAAAAAAAAAACACAAGTATACATTATATTTTTATTTTTATGTATTATTATTATATTTCTGAACAACAACAATATTGTAAAATCGTACGATCAATATGTTAATTATTATTTTTTTTTTTAAATAGTTAAATTATTTATGCGAAATTAAAACGTTTGATCTGCACGTCATGTGTATATTAAACTCCTATTTAGTAAACTAAATGTTTTTTTTTTTTCATTCTAATTTCCACCGATAACACGCAATGTATACCAACATTTTAAAATCAAATGTAGGTATAGCTATTTTTTTTTTTTTTTGAGAACCGTATCCGATACTTGCTGCACGATGGGTTATCGGCGTCCGGGTGTGCTTAGAGATAAAATAAAATACTATAGGGTCATTCCACGTGAAGTCACTTAATGGGTGTGCGACTATACTTAAAAAATGTTTGAAATTTTTAGAATAAATTCTTTATAGGTCCTTAATAACAAAAAAAATTAAAAAACTATTTTAAAAATGTAAATGGAAATCGTGTATACTTCCAATAAGTGTAAATCGTCAAATTTGAACGCTTACCACTGATGTTAGAATAATTTCTCCATCACCAAACTTTTACTAGATATTCTACTCACTTATAAGTATTGCATAATTTTGGAATAATTTTCGTTCAGTCACATTTGTGTTGTGGGTCATCAAAATAGGTAGTTTTCAGCAAAATACCCATGTTTGAATTAATAGCAAAAAAAAAAAACTTAATTGGTTCAAAGATGATATGGGTCATAAGAACATAACTTAAATATTATATAAACAAAGTATTTATACTTAATTTTTAACTCTGACCCCAAAAAAAGTTTTTGAAAAATTTTAAAATAATTTCCAGGGTTAAAAACTAAAAATGTTCTTAAAAAATGGTTAAGGGGATTGCATGCGGTTGGTTTTTAAGGAGTTTTGTATAGGCAATATTTAGGAAAAAAGTGGTTATAATAAATTTTGATCGTGTCAATTAATTTACCGGTTGATTTGTATAAGCTTCGTGGTATTATTTTTAATTAAAATTATTTTGTCTATGAGTAAAAACCATTTTAGTTAATATAACATACATTTTTTGTTTAGAATTTCGAACATTTTTGAAGTATAGTCGCACACCCATTAGGCGATTTCACGTGGAATGACCCTATATCTTAACTAACAGGGTTTTGAAAAGAATTAAAAAAAAGAAATGTTTAATTTTGTGTACCTAAGTGAAATATTTTTGATGATTGAACACAAATAGAAAACTGTTTTTGGCATTTGTTGAAATCCGAAAGCGATTTATAGTCAGCTACTTTTTTTTTTTTTAATTTTCATCAAAACATTTTACTTGGGTACACAGCTTTATATTGTTATGATATTTTTAAGTGGCTCGAATAGCATTTTTTGTGTTTTTAAATCTCGATTTTAGAATTCCCATCAAGTTAGGCCACTATTTAATTTGTAAGTTAAATACACATTTGAGGTTTTTTTTTTTTTGGTCAGGAGCAGGATGTTCTCAACTCAAGTAAAATGTATGAAATGTGCGAATAATACACAATAAACACAGACTTACTATAGGTTATATTAAATTAAAAAAATCTAAAATCCTACTCTTGTTGTAGTAAACACACCGGAAAAATTCAAAAGTTTAAACCCAACCAATTCCACGTGGAAAAAAGTCTGCGAAGAAGTTTCCCAAAGACCTCGTAAGAAGTCGCCTAATACTATTATAAGTGTGTAGAACTTCCTTTACATATATATTTGGTTTTGCATCATATTACTCGTAGTATATACACTGGTAGTGGCCAAAGCTTTTGCATGTCTTTCTGAATAATTATAAATTTGAAGTGCGCCAAAGGGGGGAAACGAAAGGGATCAAATAAATATCTGAAAAATGTTGGGAATTTTTTTTACATTTGTCCCAACATATAAGGACCACCTCAATGTACTTGCACGTAATTGTTTTGTGGGTACGTAGATTACCTACATAATTTACAATTTTTTTTAAAATTAAAAATAAAAAAATCTACTTTTACCGGGAAAACCCCGAAAAAATAGCTAAATCTATCGGTTCTAAATATTGATATTGATAACAGTGATAACAGTTATCACTAACAAGAAGTCTCTTCTACCTTATCTTATAGGCCTTATGGTGTAGAATGTTAAGCATTTCCTTTACAAACGGCAAGCAAAAATAATACATCTAATATTATAACGGACAGATTGTAGTATTATAATTTATAGGTACATATTTTTTATATTTGATATTATTATTGTTATTATTTTTTTATTCGAGTAAACTTGTTTGCCGACCGTTGCCCTAGGGTTTTTAATTTTTATTTTTCATGACCTTCGTGAAACCCGTTTTGTCGGCCGTCCGAGACTGTGTTGTATTATATTTTATGGTATTTTTATTGTTAGTGTTTTTTTTTTTTTTTATGGAAAATAACTCAATTTATTTCCGAACACTATTAGTGTGCCTATTTTAAAATATAATCCGTAAGCACCTACCTACACCCGTTTGTAGGCCGTCTTAATTTTAAAATTTATATCATATTTTAATGTTAATATTCTTACAATATTATATTACACAGTACAATATACACGGACAAACCGGAAAGTGTAAGTATACATTGACTAAATACATATATAGAAATTATAATTTAATAGTAACATACAACTATAAACTATAAAAACTATGATTATACAAAGATAATATATTATATGTTTAATGGAACTGTTAGTTAGGTTAGGTTATTACATAGGTTAGGATTGGCAGTTATTACCTCTATCACACATTTTCTTAAATACATGCATTTTAGAGTGGACCAAAAACATTTTTTTTTGTTCTTCTCTTGACACTATGTTCCATTGGGTAAAATAATATTTCCCTATTTTTTCAGATTTTTAAAAATTTGTTTAGAGGTTGCGAGCATCAGTTTTAATATTAAGAAAAATAAAATAAAAATATATTTTCAAAACTTGTCTTTTGTTTTTTTTTTAAATTAATTTTTTTTCTGATCTATTGTTAGAACAATGTGTTATGTAAGTATATCGGAATTCTTCGCAACTAAATGATGAATAAGTTAAAAATATTTTATACCCCTAAAAAAAATATTTTAGGGTACTATTAAGGGTATATATATATATATCAATATTTTTGCAAATTTTACATTCTAAGGCCTAAATGAGTTGGAAAGTAGTTTTTTTTTGTAAAAAAAAATAATACTGGTTTATGCCTCTTTCCCTAGTGATGATTTTGTATACAAGCAACATTTGTTTAAAATTGATATTTATACATTAAAAAAATTAAAAACTAAAAAAAAAAAATTTTTTGGAAAACTGATGCTCGCAACCTCTAAAAATAATTTCAAAAATCTGAATAAAATAGGGAAATATTATTTTACCCCAAGGAACATAACGTCAAGTTTTTTTTTTTGGTCCACCCTAATGTATTTACTGGGAAAACTTATATGTAGATTATGAGCATAGTATAACTGAAATCCTTGTCAATTTTAGATATTATAATAATAAATCCGCAGTCAATAAAGAAAAAAAAAATTGTAATTCCTGCATTGAGATGATTTTTTATTGGGATTCTAAAAACCTGAAAACTTAAAATTAGCGTTTCATTTGTTCTAAAATACAAAATATGTAGATGCCTATTTTGAAAAGCACTAATTTTATACTTTAAGGTTTATAAAATATACCTCAAGCCCCTTCTCAACTTTTCCCTGTTGTTTTTATTTTCTGAATACTCCATTGCTCCTATCCTTGCCTCGAGATGGTAACTGTGAGATGGATTTTGATCAGCCAGGTTTTATTTCACTTGATTTGTCATGAAACTGGTTCTCTATCTATCTATCATGTTCAGAGATAGTCAAGACTAATACAGTGTGTTCGAAATGTATAAGAACATAATGTTATGTATTATTTGATTGAATTAGGACACCTAAAAATTATTATTATATTATATTGTAACACATATGTTTCCAATTGACCTCATATAAGGTACCTGTATTAACTCATACAGTAATCTGTATAATATTATGGTAGTGTATGAATGTGTAAAAGTATTTGAAAATAAACACCTCTATTTAAGTCTGTATTATTGCTTGTATAAATGGGTAATATATTTTAGGCGTTATTTTTTTCACAATAGAAGTATAATTTTTGATTTGGAACAACTGGAGATTAGAGGGTTCTATACCCTACTTATACTATGCGACTAGAAGGTGAACAGGAAGCATATATATTATTATATTAACCTTCGTTGTGATTATTCACTTACATTCTATCCATTGGATAATGGTTATTGGACAAGGAGGGAGGGGGAGGGGCGTTTTGCTAGGCCCCCAAACTTTTAGTAGGATAGATTTCTTTTTACCATCTGGATTTTGCCATTATAGTAGTTACTCCAAGTATAATATTATAAAAACTCAAAACTCTATAAGACAGGCCTTTTTGGAGAGTGATCTTTCTTGAAAAACATACGTCATAGGTTTGAATAATTTTTGTTTGGACACTCTTAGCTGTAAAATTGTATTAAAATTTATTAAAAATACTTGCTGATAGAATAACTGAAAATTCAAAACCTAATGAAAATAACTATGGGGATATTTTGTTTTTCTCGGTTGGCTACACTGTCAGATCGAACAAAGTCCGTTATAAAGTGTTATTATTGATAAGCTCGGGTTTAGCAAGCTTGTTAAAGGTAAGTATTATTTACACACTAAGTTAAACTTTAATACTAAAAAAAAATTGGTGTGTCATTTTAGTGTCCAAGCTGTGATTAATTAACTTGTATACTGTTATTAATTTCTAGTTGACAACAAAATAATATACTTAACCTACACCTTAACCTATGTGACTTTGGACAGACATGTTTTTTTTTTTTTTAATAAAAGGGTGAAAAAATAAAAAAATGTCTTGGAAATTTAATATTTGGGTCAAGACTAAACTTCCAAGACCTTTTCCAGTGCTCTAGTAACATTCCTATCTCTGCTCCACTATCTCTATTAATACTCATTGCTATCAAAATATATAAATAGAATATGTCGACACAACTCACAAGTGTATAGTACCTATGTAATAATAATCATATTGTCAAGCGAAACTGAAAATCTATTTGTACAATTAAACGAAACGAAGAAGAAAACTTGAAGTATTGTACGTATTGTGTGTAATTAATAGTTTCTTGCCATTTTTAGTAGGTAGTTTTATCCAAAACTAGTATCAATAACGCGTGTGACAACTTTCTTAAGACCATCTTATACATTATTTACTACCTTATATTATTTATTATATAGATTATACACTACAAGACCGCACAGATGCACATCTCTTTGCAGTAAAATGTATCCAAATAGTAGATGTATAGCTATGTAAAAATACCTTAGAAAAAAAGGTTTTGATAATTTTTTAACTTGATTTCCAAAAATTTGCGGTTTTACATAGTCCTTGGCAATAAAAAAATTTTAAGGAGAAATTTGGATAGTTTTGGCCCTTGTCTATATGCTTCTGTCTAATTTTCACATCTCAAGTCCTAAAAGTTGACAGGAAAAAAAGTTGAAATAAAGAACAATTTTTCCACCCCTACCCTAGAAAAGGGTATGTCTAAAGAATATTCCATACAACAAATTTAGACCTAATTGGACTATTTAAAAAAAAAAAAATTACATTGCATCATTATTTCAAGTTAAAAAATAAGATGTACAGTTTTTCTCGATTTTTTAGGGAAGTGGTGAATCTTTTTAAATGTTCAAGCCAATTAAGTGCCAGTTAGGATCTGCCTGTGATCCAATATAGGTAGGTTTGTGTTGGGAGTTGAGTTATCCGAATAAAAAACGTCCAACTCTAATTATAAGGCTCTAACAATAATTTGTATCTGGTAATATCTTAGGGCCGTATATTCATAGTCGGTTCTTAAATCTTATCTTAAGTTATACTTTCAAAAGTAAAGCTTAATCATAAGTGTTCATAAACAGGTTAAAGTAAAGTGCTTTTAATTTACTTATTATTATTTTTTAAGTAGGTAGGTGGTATACTAGATTAGGTTTGTATATATTATCAAAACATTTCCTATCTTTCCTCACAACAATAATTGTTGTAAATATAACTCTCTTTAATTAGGTTCGTTATCCAATTCATATTATCGTACAATTTACATTTATAATATTCTATAATAATATTTAGTACAGTTGTTTTTGAAAATCTATCAAATAAATAATATTATGTTAATTTTTAAAAATATGTAATTTAAGCGATTCAACATTAATTGGTTTTTTTTTCTGATCACAGACATAGAACACAGACGTTTTGTTAAAATGAAAATTCGTGAACCATAAAACGAGCAATACAACAGTTTTGAGACATTTAAAATTTAAATTTAAAAAATGCTCAATATTTGAATAAATGACACTATTTTGTTCGCAGCCAACTCTGAAGTTAATGTTATATTATGAAGAAAGGTACAATGTGGAAGAATATAATATACACTTACATCATCATGCCATCGTGGTAGCATGAAATAATAGAGATATTGAGCTAATATTACTATAGTATTACTGTTGCATTATAACATAAAAAATTGCATCGAAGCTAAAAATGGTATATTTTATACTAACTTTACAGGTAAATTTTGTAGATTAAAATTCGATATTTTGACATAATTTGTATATATTTTCATATTTTTTAGACCTCCATGAACAATATGCTATGATTAAAAATGTTTAATTAAAAAATTACCTTAGCGTTTTTTTTTTTTTGTTATTTCTTTCCACCCAATACACATAATAATATATTTTTTTCTTTTGAAATCATTCGGTCTCTCCCACCCCAGTGCTGTGCCCGTCTTAACCTGAATATTATACCTACCTATCTACCTACCTACCTTCCTACCTGTGTCCGACGGCAGCAGCACAGCACAGCACATACACACACACACCATACCTAATAATATTATTCATTATACATTTACTATTTAGTCGGTGGCCGCATTCCGTGTCGCGCAGTCGCATAGCTGTTGCTGTTCGGTTGTTTTCCATGTTTTTTTTCCCAGTCGTCGACGATTGTGAATTATTGAATACACAAAAAGAAATATTCGATTTGAAAAATTTTTTCTAAACTGTTTTTTTTTTTTTTTGTTAAGAACCGATCGACGAATTCGCGACATCCGAAAATGCCCATTTGCGATGTGTTCAAAATATTATTATAATAATCATACTAGGTACTACTATTAACACAGTGTAATTTTTCTTTGGGCGAAAATAAACACAAACGACACACACACACAAGACACCGTGATATTTTCCAATCGTGAGTACCGCAATTATTATTATTATTATATTATTCTACTGGTTAAATGTTAGGCAGGACACACTATTTTGGCACACTATTCAAGTCACTTATACCGCTTGTTTTTTTTAATTTAAATAAAGATTAAAAAAAAATTAAAATAATTATTCTCAACATCTCTGTGTGTGGAGAAAGACAAGTTTATTGTGTGCTAAAATTGCTTTTAAATCTCTGTCGAGGATGCTGCGATAGTGTCAACGTTGATTTGAGATTTCCAATTGCCCAACTATAATAAACAAAAACAAGTGCAACGATGGATGGGCATGATACAAGTGTACTTATTTTTTGTATTTTGCACCTCGGTTTTAGGATTGGTACAAAATACATAGATTACTTTACCAGTACTTGGGCATTGCATTGTTTTTGTTCAACACTCGATTACCGTACCTACCTAAATAATAATTATCGATTGCTCTGCGTGAAAATATAAATTCCAATCATCCGTATCATACACAATTTGGACAAAACATAATAATATAACAGTGCGCTGCTATGGCAGTTGTTCGGTATTTGGTTCAGTTACAGATGACATTGTTATACCTACACGTATAGCAATACATGTTACCTAGCGGTCTAGTGCTTTGTCAATTATCTACATTAACGGGTATTGCATACATGGTCTTCTTCGAGCAGTCGCCTGGTGTGTAGAGGTACCAAGTCTTGAACTTTAGATACACTTGGGTTCATCTTACCAAAACTTGTGTTATCACTAATCCCCCCCCCTTTTTCATCCGCCCCTGAAAATGTCCAAAATCGTCTGATCGACAAACTATACAATATAATTAAAATCCCATATTTTTTTCTACTAATATTTATAAGCTTAATGTCAATCCGTGTTTAAGTATACGATATGAATATTTTATTGGCGCTGTATTGGAGATACCAATAATTCTACAATCGGTTATTTTTACTCGGCGTGATTAATAGTAGACATTTTTGTATGTTTTATTGATAAATAAAAAATTACAAACAGCGAGTGCGACCATTTATAGATGGCCAATACTTGAACTTACAATACTACACCTTATATGGTTTAAATTACAAGGTAAAAATAGATAGGTACAATCGATAAATAAATCATAATGCAATAACAACCGAAATACAATTTATTATTAATGTGATGCTGTTCGTACCACCTATTATATGATATGAGCTCTTGGCCAATGTACCTAAAGTACACACTATAAATTTAATTTATGAATAATCTCTAATCAAGCCGTATTTGAGGTTGAACGCAAAATGTATGCGTTCAACGTGTCTGTTTGAACCAATATGGATTAATTGTTACATGTAGAATTCGACTTGGGCGAGTTCGAAGTTGGAAATTGCCAATACACGAGTCATGTTGTAGTTTAATTTAATAAGAATAAGTAATAACCAAGTCTGTAAAAGGATAAATTATTTTAAGAACAAAAAAAAAAAGAATACAAGTAATTGGGCAAGCAACTAAAATACAAATTGACTGTAAACGTTTGTTTTTGTCTATCACTCAAAAAACGCTTTTAGAATTATAATTGTACAGATGAAATAAATGAGCTGTTTTTTCTTTCTTGGTAAATTTATAATAGTTTGAAAATGGCAAAACACACGTGCCAACCTCCTACGATGGAAATGTCTGTTCATTTGTACCTAATGTATTCATTCTACTAATTTTACTCCTACGAAACGGCGCGTGCTTGTTTAACATCTAAAAACATAAATATTTATCATAATCACTAGTCCCAAACAATACGCTTACACTAATAGTAGGAGAATATCAATTATAATATCGTACGTTCCGTTTTAACGTCATAATTATTAATTTAAGACCTTTTGCCGGGCTGAACTTGATGTTATATTCATAAAGTCAATTTTTCGGCCCATAACCGGCCGCTTTCATTCAAAACAATTTCTTTACACACTTAGACTGTGATTAGCATTTAGACGGGCCCAAACGGTGTGTTAATATAAGTGAATATATATATAGTATTGTACGTGTGTGATTGTAAAACTGACAACAACAATAGGCCATTGGGAGTTGGATAGGTAAATATGTTAACGAAAACGGTAAATACCTTTGTAATAATGTCCTAAGATTTGGAATTAGAAAATCTCATTGATTGATCGACTATGTCGCACAAGTCTAAAGTTGATGTTTTTGTATTTTAATAGAAACAATCTCTCAGGGTCCGCAGAGACTTAAACGCCCTTACAAGTATATTTGTCGGTAGGCCCGTTGTGGCATCGTCGCCGATGTTGTTTTATTGTTTTATTATTGTTGTTGTTATAACCCAGTACAACCATATATATATATATATATGTAGATATTATTATGGACTGTCAAGAGGCCGAATACAACAGAGGAATTCACCTTGTAACCTGTTGCCCGGCCTTATAGTCGTCGGTATATTATATGCCAAACCGTTAAAAATCTGCCGTCACCGTTGCCCGACGGAGAGAGACCACTCCTTCCCTTCGTTAAAGAGTTGTTTTTCTCTTTCGATGCTCCTTCCTTTCCGCCGTTTATTAATACCGCCGCCTGTTCGACTCAGTGGTCTGCGGAATTTTTTAATACCCATACGATTAATAATCGAGATCCGAAACTGGTCAATGAAGAGAAGTCCAGAGAGAGAGAGAGAGATAGAGAGTGAGACGATTCACATACACACACACACGAGATTGATCGTATCCACTTGTGAGTGCCACAACGTCAACTGGGTCAAGGATTTAATGAAGAAAAAATTTTTAAAAAAACAAACACCAACTCTTACCGCAATTACAATTATTATTGTTAAAAGTGTCATTGCCGAAAAGTGAAAATTATCAAATATTTTTTTGTCCAATATAAATTCAGACAGTTTGACGATACTGTATCATGTTACACCTACCTATTTACACATTTAACCGCATTGTTCTTGTTAAAAAATTGTATAACACAGCGTGTTAGATTAGGATTAATTTCGAGAAAAAAAAAATATTATATATGATTATTTACAACAAAAAATGAAAATCCTAGACACCGTGTGCACCCGGCGTAACGCCGCAATACACAACATAATAATATTATAAGATACTGTGTTTTCTTGAACGGTTTTTTTTTTAAATTTTTTTAACCACATGAGACTGTCGCGAGAATGTTAAATTTGTCGTTTTACTGTTTCTCGTTATGATTTGAATTTGTCTGGTGATATGACAGTGCAATGAGAGGCTATTTGGAGATGGTCTTGCATCTTTGGCGTGGAGTCTTAAGGCGGGGATGGCTTGGAAATCATAAATACTATTATATCGATCACTTCTCGTTAGTGAAGAATTTTGCAAACAATTTTCTACGAATACTTTCTTATAAAAAATTACCGTCGTAATGACTCTGCTACTGACTTATCGACGGTTGTCCGTTTCTTTCAGCTGGTTAGGTCGTCGAACATCTTGTGGACAAAACCGAACATTCTGTTTGAAAACCGCAGTCACCATTATTTTGGTACCCGGTTGAATTATTGCATAGCTTCTACATAAACGGTAATTAAAAAGAGCGGACTCCTTAAAAAAAAAAATTATATACTATCAACATACTATTGTATGTTTTTGCCAACTAGAGCTGTTATAAATGATTTGTTTTATACGCTTGTAATCGATTTCTCTGGCGTCTCAAGGTCCTTAATAAAAATTAAAAAAAAAAAAAAAAGTTCTACGCTAAACACGGTTGTGTCTTGTAATACTGAATGATATTAAACCCCCTCGTGCATTCTACTGTTTCCCGGACGGTGTGAACTAATGTAGTAACGCGAGATTTTTTATTTTTATTTTGTCTTATTGATTATAGGTGGCAAAAAAAACAACGGATGACGATTCACATTTCGGATAACGGTCGACCAAAAAAAAAAAAACCTTGGTCGTCGCCTGACGTTTCGTAATATTTAAATAGTAGGTAGAGGTGCTCTCGCGGCCATTAAAATCGTGAAAACGTTGCACACACCATTCCACACACTGTTGTGTTACGTTGTACACATTATGTATAATATTACCATCAATGATTGTATAGTATCCCTTTGGATAATTTAAACGACATAACGTTTTGTGGGAACATTCTCGATGGACAAATTCGACTTGACCTCATCGACCTTGCATACAAGAGTTGGCCAATAAATAACAATATAAAACGCTACAATATTACTTCATACATCGTCTGTGCTGTGTTTAGATGATAGCTATAGATCCGCGACGACAAAGTGATATTATTGTGAGATCTTCTTACGCACCTATGTTTACAATTATAATTTTACTAAAAATTTCTCGATTAGCCGAACGCGAGCACCGTCTCATACTAGACCGTTTACATAATTATTATGTTGTTTGTCCGCGTTCTCATAACTCTTTTGGTCATACTCGCTGAGTGTATTAAAAAATAATAATTCATCCTTTTTTTCCGCCTACCTACCACCATTTTTTTGTTGTTTCACACGACGCCGTGTGCATCCATCACAGGCGAAAGTACAAACAGAGGCTTGTCTTGTGAATCCATCACACACCGTAGACCATAACGATGATGCAATATGACAATTTCTAGGTACTCGATGGCCTATGCGGTTCATACGGAAGTGTGTACACGACGGTTATCCAGGAACTATCCATTTGCTGCCCTCGTCGCCATCACTATCCCTCGTGCCACATCCCCTTCCATTTCATGAAATTATAAATCATTGTTATCAATAATTTGGTAAGCAACAAAAATGATCGTTCATAAGATCCGCCGCCCTAAGATTCTGTCGGTTGCATCGCTTAATTAAAATATTTTATTCGTTAACAATGTATGTACATCCTGGACAAATGCGTTATAGTTAAAAAAAAACTAATCAGACGTGTATTCAGTCATATATCGAACATCTGTCAACCATAATATAATTATCCGACCCTGAGATCCGTGTGTAGTATAGGCATGCCCGGAGCTTAAAAATTGTGATTATCTTTTATTACCTATTTGTTAT